CATGTGTGACGCTGTGTTTGGGACTGTCCTGAGTTCATACAGACCGTACAGTGTATGAGATGTCACAGTGGCATGGAGGGTTAACATTGAGCCACTCATCAAAAGGTCAATGATTTGACCCCACCTGCCAACCACTGCTGAGGAAAAAGGTGGGGCAGTCCTGCTCCTGAAGATTTACGGGCTCGGAAACTCTATGGAGCACTTTTATGTTGTCCTACAGGGTCACTAAGTTAGCATCCAATTCGATGGCATTGAATTTGGTATTTTGTTTTTGGTGCAGTGTGTTGACAGGAGCCATGGGATTTTCATTTAATGACGTCACCTCTCCCTTTTCCCACTTTTATCCACAAATGCACTGTCTTCACAGAAGAGCTCCCTGAGAGCAGGAGGAAATCACTAAGATGCTGGTGTACACACACATCTGTTGAAAAGTAGGAACTCTTAAAATTTTTAAATATGCTGGATTTACGTAAAATTATTTTGGAGAACTGGGGAGAAGAGTTTAATAAAAAGGAACAATGAAAATTCTCAATTGCTCAAGATGTGCTCACTTGAGGTTGTTTTTGTGTTTTAAATCAATGTTAGGATCAAATCACTCTGGTATCTGCATATTTATGAGTGGTGTACAAAGCCAGAAATTGTGACTATATAAACTTAGGATAAGTAATTTGGAAATAAACTTATATTCAAAAGTACATGGAGCCTGTCATCTTACTTTTCAGGGGTATGTGAGTGCAGTAGTAGGGAGGATTCCCCTGTTCCAGGCCTCCCCCTGTCCCACACTTCCACCTGGCCCATGTCCATGCCCTCATTCTTGGAGTCTGTGGATATGTAAGTTAAATGGCAAAGGGACTTTACAGATGTGTGATTATAGATCCTAAATAGAGAAAGTATTCTGAATCATCCAGACAAGCACAATCTAAGCACATAAGTTCCAGAAAACTTACTCTAGCTAGATTAGAAAAAGTCATCAGAAAGATTAAAAGCAAGAGAGGAGCCTGAATCCACCATTACTCAAGCAATCACCTTCTAGGAAAGCAACCAGGCTTCCCGGCTGTCAGCTAGCAAGGAAACAAGACTTCAGCTGAAGAAACTAAATTCAGTCAACATGAATGAGCTTGGAAGCTGATTCTTCCCCAGAGACTCTAATAGAGAATGTAGTCCTGCCCACACTTTGATTTTGGATTTTAGCCTTGTGAAATACTAAGGACCCAGCTGAGCCTACCTGGACCTCTGACCTACAAAAACAGAGATAATAAACTGGTGATGTTTTACAATGCTAACTATGTAGTAATCTGTCAGACATTAGGAGATACAGTGAATTAAAAGGTTTGTGCCCCACGATTCCAACAGCAGCAGTACCCTATAAATACAGGTTTTTCCCTATAATTCCTTTATATTTAGTAAAGCAATACAAATGCAAGCTAAATAATCACTCTGAGTAGTAATACGGTCAGAACAGAAACCTAAATCCAGGAGTTTGAGAACCTGTAGCTGAGTTAATACTTTATTCCCCTTACAAGGTTCAAGAAAACTTTAAATGTTATCAGTTCATTAAGAAACCCTCCAGTGAGGGGGAGGTGGGGAGAAGGAAAGAGGTGTTAACAAACCCAGGGACAAGGGAACAACAAGCGATCCAAATTGGTGGGGAAGTGGGTGTGGGAGACC